AAGCGTGTGGTCGTCAGCGTGAATGAACGCCGACGCAAAATGAATGCTGTCCAGGCGGCGCAGCGGACCATCCACGTGGCGGTGGAGGAGCTGCGGCCGCACGACGCCGCATTGGGCCGCCACGGCTGAGGCGAGCCGCTGTCGGGAATATTGCTCGCGAGCACTCACCCCAACGCAGCCGCCTCGCAGGTGATTGAGCTACCAGCGTTGGGCGCAACGGCACAGGCGCGGGAGCCCGCAGAGCACAGCCAGCACTCGCCCATCGTCAACGGTGTCGAACGCAGTCGAGAGGCCGATCGGGACGGCGAGAGAGCAGCGCGGGATGACGCCCCTGCGACGCTCGCACTCCACGCTAATGCGCTCGCTCGGCCCTCGTGCCGTTTTGTCACTCACAGGCGTCACAACTCCGAGGCGGTGCGTCGTGGCGTGGATCCAGGCTGACGTCGGTGGTGGGCCAGCAGTGCTGACAGGCGGCGGCGGACCAGCCCTTCCCTCACCCCAAGCAGGACAGAGAGCAGCGGGATTGGCCAACAACCCCCTCCGTGCGGCATGTGTTCTTCCCGTGGTTGCGGATAGGAGTGGTGTCCCCCGTTTCCCGGAAACTTCGCAGGCTGCCGTCAGAGAGGGAGGTGTTGATCATCGTTCTGTGCGAGCAGCGGGCGGCGGGTACAAGATGGCGCAGAAACACAATCAGCGCACCGCCGGGGCCACGCCACGCAAACAGTCGCGGATGGCCAATTCAGGTGCACACGGCGTGAAGGGCCAATTCATACCTCATTCGCCAGGAGGCACGCGAGCACAAACTGTGCACACAACGGCGGAGATCGCAGCACGTGCGACTCAGACACTGTGACGGACGAGCGGGTTGCCCGCAGCAGAGACAGAGCACAGACGCAGTCCCAAGAGTACCGCAGCACAGCCGATCCCAGAGGGCAGGGACGTGGCGCCGCCATGCCTCGGAGCATCACAGGCTTGGGCTCGAGAGGGCACCAAGCTGTTTCGCACGGACCTCAGGCAGCATGGAGAAGCCACGGCGGAGGGAATGATTGCGGTCCTCCCGTTTGCGGTGCACTTCAGCTCGTGGCAGGCCGCCGCTGCAACACACTCGGCCTGCTCCATTCCGTCCGTCCAGATACATGTGGGAATGTCACGGCTGCCCCTCGTGCGGTGCCTCGGTGCATCTCCAACCATTTGATTACAGCGGCCGGAGACGTTGCACACGCCAAGGTGAAAGCATCACGGTCAGCTTCACGCAGGACAACGAAGACATGCTTCCGTCGCGGCAGCAAGCCTGTCTGTCGCGGGATGCCGTCCTCCGTCCCCGCAGTGTGGGATGGCAGATGGTGGTCCGACTCCATGTAAACGGGCGGACTTCCAGTGGGAGACACGCAGTACGCGTTGCGCGGTCACGTCGGGAAAAAAGACACGGCGGCCGCTGATACGCGCTGCCTGTGCCGGGTCGTCGGACAGCTCAATCTCCATGCCTCTTGGGGCGGTGGCGCGGTTCTCTCCTGCCGTCATGGATGGTGAGCAACCGTCCCGCAGCTCATGGTGTGGGTTCAGGTCGTCCGCAAATAACCGTTGCAGGACAAAGGCGACAAATGGTGCCCGCAAAGTGAGCTACGTAAGCAATTACTGCAGGAAGGCCGCAGAAGTTCACCGCGTACATGCTGGGGCAGGCCGGTGGGCACACGCGGAGGGCGGCGGTCTCCACGCAGTTTGTGCCACGAGCAGCAGGCACTCGCACAGCAAGGTGTGGCGCACCAAGAAGGCCACGCCACCGGCACGCCCACTGCAGGTCTGGTGAAAGCCACCGCAGCCAACGCGCCGCGTCGCTGGGGCGCCCTGGTGCCTGCACTCCTGCAGAAAAGCGGTGTCAGGCCGGTGCTGCGCCAGTCGAGCAGCAAGGGCAATCCTGAAGGGCGAAGGGCCTGAAGTTCTGAGCTGCCACACAATGACGAGGCCATCCTCATCGGGGCTGCGGCTCTTGCGGACACCACCGCAGCGGGTGATGCCGACGGAGTGACCGCAATGAAACAACTGTGCGGTTCTGTCAGTCGGGCTGCAGGCAAACCACCTCGCCGCTCCACAACCGACAGAGCGTGGGACCTTCTCGAGGGGTGACGCCGTCGCGGTCCCCATCACGCTCGCAGCAATGCCCTGCCGCAATCACTCCCACAGAGAGACAAGGAAGAGTGTGTGGATGTGTGCCGAGAACACAGCGACTGTCATCGCCACCAGGAGGAGACCATCGTGCAGCGTCCGCCACGCGTCAGCACACACCGAGCAACACACGCACCCGGCAGAGCAAAAACAAAGAGGAGAAAAGAATGACCCCAAGAGAAGGCAACACCTTCACGCATGGCGGGCATCGTGCAGCCGCGTCATCACTTCAGCACGGGACGCAAGCCCACACACATCCATCCAATGGCATCGTGATTCCCTCCGCACAGGCACACACGCAGCGGCCACACATCTCAGCACAGGACACGCAAGCAAACTTAACGCCGCCGCCAAGTCAATCCTGCATCGCACTGCGCAAATACTTGTGTGGGTGTGTGTTGGAGAAACGGAAAAAAGAGGAGGAGCACAGGGAGGCACATCAACACAGCAAGAGGCACAGCTGGATGGCAGCGATACACGCGGTACGGCCCAGGCCTCAACAATCACGCACGGCGCAAGAAATTCACACGAAAAGCAAAAAAACTTTAAAACACGGCGGCAGGGTGTGGCTGTGTGTGTGGCGCTGCGGGTGTCTGCCCGCCCTCGCCGCAAAGAAAACAAAAAACAAGAGGAAAGAAATGTGTGCTCCGCCCCACAGGCCCTCGTCGCACGCCCACACGTCACGGCTCCCTCAGCGCGCCGTTCGTCGCCGCCCCGCCTCATGCGTGCAGCAGGCGAGGCGCACAGGGCCGTCGTCGTGAGCATGCCGGTGGGTGTGCGAGTGGAGCAGTTGGGCGGGAAACACACGGCACCCCTCACAGGAAGAGTGCGGCAACAAACAATTAAAAGAGGGAAAAGTAGAAAAGAAAAAAACGTCCATAGTGATTGCTCCCGGAAGTAAAAAAAAAGGAGAAGGGATAAGGGAGTAAAAAACAATAAAAAGTGAAAAGAAGAAGAAAAAAAAAAGAATTAAAAAAAAAACAATAAAAAATCAAAACAAAAAAGTAAAATTGAGAATGATCTTCTGTGCCGCTGGCCGGATCCTGAAATTATCTCAAGAAAACAAACAAGATAGGAGGGAAAAGAGAACCAAAGCAGAGGCGGCCAATTGCCAAAACACTTCCCTCTCATCAAATGCACACGCGCACATATATATATATACATATGACCGCTCGCTTAGTCTTTGTTTTCGATTAGGATCTGCGACATGACTGCTCACGATGTGGCGGACTTTGGGTCCTCCAGCCACAAGACCCCGCCGCCCCCCTTCGCCAGGTCCTGGCGTGTGAAAACACGGCCGCGTGATATGTCGTGTGCGGGATTTTCTGCAGACCACACGCGGTCGAGGCTTTCTCGCATTCGGTGAGAGCCAAAAAGTTTGGACATCCTCCGCGGCTCCCGCGCCTGGGTGCGTAGCTTGGGGCTGCCTCAATCCGCCGCCCCTTGCAGCGGCGAAGCGTTACCCACCCAAAATCCCATGGTGGGTGTCAAGATGGCGGGAAAGGCCGACAAGGCCGAGTGTGCCACGCGCACCGCGGCCTGCATGATAAGAAAAGGTTTCCTCTTCCGTTTTCCCTTCGGCAGTTTTGACGTCGGCGGAGTCCGGAATGAAAACGGCTCCCCATCCATGGAGCGACGCGACCGTGATGGCGGCGCGTTCCTTTCGGCGGGCTTGATGATTCGCCTATGATTATTCCCAATCATGTGTCGCAATCCCTCGCCCAAAAAAACCGCTGCCGGCGGAAGGTTCGCCGGGGATGTCTCCAGCATAATCCCCGGTTAAGTGCGGATAATCGTCGTCGCACTGCCTTGATGAGAAATTAGTGGGCACAAACACGTGTACAAAATGGCGGCCGCATACAAAAAGCGTGACGCCACAACCTCCATTTCCGCGATGGTTGAAGAATTGAGCGCCGGCATGGCGCATGCAGACCGGACAAACTTGTCGCTCAGAGATACCGCCCGGTGAGTGTGATCAAATTGCGTCCCCAGAAAGGTGTACTGCGTGGCACCCGATTCGCGTTCCTTCCCATCGTGGCGCGACGGCCGTCCGCATTACGAAGCACTTGGGCCTCCCACAATGCCACATCGTCCATCGACCCCTGCAATGCGTATATCGTCGATCCAAACGTCGATACGAACCAATGGAGGTGCAGCCCAGAGGCGGTGAGACACCGTCGTCACCACCGCAATTGCCGAAGTAATAATAATCTGGAGAATTTCCGGGCCGGCCTTGTATCCCACTGGGTGCCGTGTGAGATCCACCAGCGTGCCGTCCTCCACGCGGCATCGAAAGAGACGCCGAGCCTCCCGCGGTAAAGACTTGAAAAAAGGACGCCTTTAAGTCCAGGCAGGAAGCGGCCTCAGCCATCACAGGTGGCAAATAATGGGAAGTGTGCGAAAGAGGAGCGTTGGCCTCATAAGGGTCGTCTCTGTTCTTGTCGCGTGGCTACGCGACCCATCGTCGTCGTAAACCGGCAGTTTTCTCCTCGACCACCGAAAAAGGTATTATCCGCCACTAGTTGTAGACGAAGCGTCCTCGATAATTCCTGCTTTTCGTAACAATCTCGCGTCAGCGGTTGGAATCCTCCGTGAGCCTCCGCGCGCCTTACCGAGGGAGGACGGAGGAGAAGGGGACCGCCCGACGAGTCCCCAAACTCGCATGAGACTCCCCAAGGTAGCCGGGTTCAAACGACTCTTGGTCCACTCCGGATTCAATACGGACACGTTGACCTGCCGTAGCGGGATGGTTCGTTCACCTTGTTGAGTGGCCGGACGCGTTCTTGCCGCGCGCCCTGTGATTGCGGCTGTGCGATGATAAAAATCATGATAAAGCTATGCGGCGCACTTTGACGCAACAAAAAGCTCACGAACCTTGCGACGGCCCGCGTGGAGCGAGCCATGGCCCATTGAAATGCCACGGCGCGTTCCGAAAAACGGGGCGCGTTGCGGCGCGCCGCTTCAATCGCGGAGACGCAAAATTGGGACCCACAAGCGATCCCGCAGGTGACGGGGCACGTCGACCCGTTCGACCCTCCCCAGAAAAAAGTGCGGTATTCGGAGAGGTGCGGAACAATGCTGACCCAGGTGTCGTCGCTGGCCGCGTTGGTGTGAAGGAAGCGACCGCGGAAGGGCGGCAACCCTGGATGAGAGCAGAGGGCCTTTTTAAACGCCGAAAGCGCTCAGCCCTCATGCCCTTGAGAAACGCGAGGCGCGGTGGTGATCCGCCTTCGCCGTCTTTGGCGCCACGGAAAATCCAAAGTTATGGCCCCGCCCGGCCGCAGTGTGAAATTCTGAAAGTCAAGGCCGCAATCTCGGACCAACGACTCGCCGTTGTCCGCGCAAGTCGGAAAACAACGCGTTCCTTCCAATCGGTCCGGCCGTGGATAAATTGATCCATCCCTTCCTTTGTAAAGGGGCGCGCCAGCTTCGTCTCCGATCGGGCCTCGTTTTTTTGTAACCCCAGAATCATCATATCCAGCGGGGTTCGATCCGTTTGCGACATTGGCCGCAGCATCCCGGCGCGCCGCCGTCGGGTATAAGGCACCGCCGCCGCCGCCGCCATCGAAAAGGCCACGCGGCTCTCCTCGCTGGTCGGCTGTTCGTGTGTGCGGCAAAGGGTTGCGGGTCGCCCCGCCAGCGTCGTTCTCCGCTCCCACGTCGGCGGCGCCCGGGTCTCTCGAGCCACATCGTTCGCCCCCCATATGCCTGGCCCAGCGCGGGGATGCCGGTGACTCTTCGCACCGCAGTCGAGCGTCTTTGGCGGGGGAGCTCGGTAGACCTCCTCGCCGATTGCGCGGGGCAATTTGAACTTTGGAACGGGGGTTGGCGGGGCGGTGTGGTGAATTTGCGGGCGGGGCCGCGGGGGGCGACGCTGCCGGCGCCCGGAACCGGATTAGGCGGGGGTTTGTGGGTCTTGCTCTTGCTTTTTGGTTTTTTTCAAATGGGGCGGTTGTTTTGCGTTTTCGGGCGTGGCTTTTCTGTTGTCCGTGCCTTCCGTTAATTGTTGACGTTTCCTTTTTTTGGGCGTTACTTTGATTATTTGCGGATGAGTGTGCGCGTAAATGTCTAGATTCTGTATATGAATAAGCGTGGTTTGGATCTTGATCGGTATATTTTTGTGTTTGATGTCTTTTTTTTTTACTTTTTGTATCTTTGGGAGTTCACGGAGGAGAATGGCTACGGAGGGCGAAAGATTTACGAACCCTGTTTTCTTTGTTTTGGGGGCTACAGGTAGTGGAAAGTCATTGGCAGCTGTGAATGTTGCAAAAGCGCTTCAGCATCGTTGTGGGTTTGAGCATGTAGTAATTGTTAACTGTGATGTTATGCAATTTTACGCGGATCTCCCAATTGCGACGAATAAGATTTCGTCATCTGAAATGGAGGGCATTCCCCACTGTTTTGTTGGTTTTCTTTCTCCCAGCGGGATGAAAATACGAGACCCAACTCTCATTTACAAGGGGCGTGACAAAGAGGAGACTGTAGCTGTGAATAGTTTGAAGGAAAAAGAGGTGTATAATATTCATTCGTACGTACGCGATGTCGTGGGTTTTATTGAGTCATTTTTTCGGGATCATTCTTCTGCTGCTGTTATTGTTTGTGGAGGTACTTGCTACTATGCTCAGGCGCTCCTGTTTGATAATACTTTGACATTGGAGGATGAGAAGGACTTAGTGGATCATGAGAAGGGGTTAAGTTCTTCTGTCTGTTTAGAGAAATATGAGGGAAAAGATCTCTGGCAAGAGCTGAATCGAGTGGATCCTGCCGTTGCTGTTCGCTATCATCCGAATGATACGAGACGTCTGTGTCGTCTTCTTGAGATTTATAAGAAGACGAATCGTTTGCCCTCGGAAATTTACTCCACTAGGCCAGATCCATGTTTTCGTTTTTGTCCTCAAAAATGTTTTGTTTTATGGATAAATGTTCCATATGAAAAACTGAGGAAAATATTAGAAGAAAGAGTCGATAAAATGTTGGAACGAGGAATTCTGAATGAATTTGTTGAATTTGCAGAAAGACAAGTAAAGGATAGTTTTGATTTTGCTTTAGCCAAGGCGATTGGATTTAAGGAGTTTATTCCCGCTGTTGATATAATTGACGGTCAAATTAAGGTGAAAGGAGAATGTGAGTTGAAAAATTCTCTTGATCTTTTGAAGAGTAATACCAAACGATATGCTCGACAACAAGATCAATGGATCAGGAACCGTTTTCTTGGTCGTTTTCGTTCTGTTTTTAATTCTTTTCAGGGAACGAGGAATTTTGTGAGTATTGACGCGTCAAAAATATTCTCAGAATTTATTGAAACAGTTCAGAATGCAACGGAGTTCCTGGTAAAACCAGGTTCACAACAGCTTCAGGGAGTAACATTCCCGTTAAATCAAATTATGGAGCCACAATCAGAAGTGAAACAAGAGTGGTGTCAGGTTTGTGAGATGTTTTTCTGTGGAGGGAAACAGATGAATATACATTTAACTTCGAGACGACATCGGGGTGCAGCAAAGCACGCCGCTTTGGTGAAGGAACAGGAGGAAAAATATGGTCGTTTGATCTCTTTTAAGAGAAAGAGATTGTCATGAGTTTAACTATTATTATTTTATTCATGATAAGCATGTATTTCTATGGAGTCTAGTAATTATGAAGTTATATTATTGTATTTTTAGATATTTCTAAGAAATGAAAAACATTTTTTTATTCTTTTATCACATATCTATATTTAAAGTTTAAAAGATTAGCAATACATTTATTGGAAAAAAACAACGAAGATACACAAGTAACAAAAATAAGAAAATAATAAAAATAGAAAAAAAAAAAAAAAAGAAACGAAAAAAAAAGAGATAAGTTTAAAGAAAAATACTACAAAGAAGCGAGAGAATAGAAGAAAACATTAAAAAATATGGAAACCAAAGATGAATTCTCTGTAAAGGCACAGTTGTACCTGGCTCTTGGAAGCCTTCTTTCCGGTGCAGTTTTGGTTGTTTATCTGGGATCTCGACGACTTCTGCAACAAACCCTTGAAAAAAGGGAGAAACAACACAGATTCGAAGAAGTTCTAAACACGGATGATACTTTGGCGTTACCTCTTATGGGATCAGTGGTACTTTTTGTTGCTTATGTGCTTCTGAGGTTTATCCCTTTAGAATATTTCAATGCACTGATCTCTGTTTATTTAAGTATTATTGGTGTTTTTTCTTTGGGCGCATTTCTAAAGACGTATATAAATCCAAATTTTTTTACAGGCATTATTTGTTGTGCAGTGGGAGGGGTTTACTACATGAAGAATAGTTGGATAGCGAACAATATATTGGCCATAGCCATTGCTGTTCGTGCTATTGGGTCTGTTCATTTAGGATCATTTCAAAGTTCTTTTGTGATGTTGTTGGGCTTGTTTTTATACGACGTTTTTTGGGTTTTTGGATCTGATGTAATGCTTACCGTGGCAAGTGGAATTAATGGTCCTATAAAAATTGTTTTTCCTCGCACAATATTTGGTGATCATCAGGCAGTGAGTCTTTTGGGACTGGGCGATCTTATTATTCCCGGATTTTTTGTTGCACAAACGCTTCTTTTTTCTGTGGAGTATGTGAAGAGAAGCACATTTTATTTTGAAATTGCTCTAGTTGCTTATACACTGAGTCTTGTGAACACAATGGCTGTTATGCTTATTTTTGAACATGGACAGCCTGCTTTGCTTTTTATCGTGCCCTGGCTACTCGTCACATTTTTGGTTTCTGCTGCGGTAAAAGGAGACTTAAAGGCGGTATTTGATTATAATTCTGATGCTGTCACATTACCGCTTATGGATTCTACCGAGGAGAAAAAAGATGATACATTATCCGAAAGGGAAACGGATGGAATTGAAAATGAGGACTCATTGGTTGCTGTTTTACGGGGGGAAATACTGACTTTGTTCGGTTTTGAATATATGAACGAAAAGGCGGATCAATCTCAGAGGGGTAATGCAAAGGAAAAAACTAAAAAGGAATAATCTTATGTAGAAAAAATGGCTTTTTTTTTTGTGTGTGTCATCTTTTAAATTTATTCCCGTTTTTTGAAGTGTGATATGTATTTACAATTACTCGCCTATTCCTGGTGTGATACCTTTTTTTTTTTGTTTGTGCGAAGAATAACCACATTGGTAATGGACAAACCATACTGGTAATACTTTAATATGCCAATTTTCCTTTTTTAAGAAGGAAAATATTCAATTTCTCCTTTTGCTTTTTTTGTATATATATAATATACATATGTTGTTCTTCAATCCAATTAATAATAAAAAATAATAACAATAATAAACAGGCGATTTCCTTTCACGAAATCGAAATTTTTTTTTTAGTATTTGGGCATTAGCGAAATAGGGATTGCTATTCACGGATAATACCGATAAAAAAGTGGCGAATAAATATAGGAAACAACCAGGTGTTGTGGATATTGAGGTAGACGAAGGAGAGAAGTTGAATATAGGGGATGCTTAGGGCCTCTAGGATTCATTTTTGTGCCATAAATTCTTCAAAAGCAACTGCGCATTCAGGAGTAGCATACTATGCTAATGTCGCCTGGGAGGGTATTCGCCATGTATACCACGGTTTTCGTCTTTTTTTCATGAATACAAGCTTGGCTTGGAAGTATTCTCGTCAACTTAAGGCGGGCGTTGCCCTTACCCGTCGGGAACGTTTGCTTTTGGAAAGTGCTACAAAGGATCTTGTCCGACTTGTCCCCTTTAGTTTTTTTATCGTGGTGCCGTTTGCTGAGCTTTTGCTTCCCGTCGCATTAAAAATGTTTCCAGATTTGATTCCTTCAACTTTTGAAACGAATAGTCAGGGTCGTAGCCGAGCGTTTTCTGCTGCCCTGGGAACGCTTCGTGCACGACAGCGCGTGATGGAATATTTGTCTACCACTGCATTTGTTAGTTTCACTAAGGAACAGCAAGAGGTGGTGCGTTCTTGTGCATTGGGGGGGTCTGTGAATGCTTCGCAGATAAAATTGATAGCTCCTCACTTTGGCCGTGACGGACCACTAAGTGTCTACAAATGTCCTGACAGCGTTGCGTTGGGATTAGCTCGAACGGTTGGTGTTTTTAAATCATACCACGGTTTTTTTCCAACTAAAGTAATAGCACCTTACATGCGGCGGAAGGTAATACGTCATTATCACAAGACTCGTGAAGACGATCGTTTGCTTCGGCTTGAAGGGCTTGATGATTTAACAGATGAGGAACTGATAAAGGCCAACCTTGTCCGGGGCATGCGTTGGACAGAGGATGCTGAAACACTCCGTATTCAGCTGGAATGGTGGGTTTCACTTGGTCGGGACCCTGATGTGCCATACAACACATTATTTTGGGTTAAACCTACCCGTTTCAGTTTGAAGGAGTCTATGAGGCGATTACCCCTTGAGCAGCGTCGTCAGATGTTAGGTATTCAGTATCTCCCTGAGGGTGTTCGTGGGAATCTGGAGACACTCTGTGAAACTGTTGATACCGTTCCCACTTTGGGGGATGACCGTATTGATGCTGATCGAATCCTGGAAAAGCTTGAAGATCTAAGTGCAAAGACGAAAAGCAGTGATAGGGATATATCTTTTCACGACATACAGGTATCCTTTGGTGCATATTTGACGGAGGCAAATGTGAAGATGATGTTTGAGCGCATTCGCAAGGGCAAAACCGCGAATGAAAGCGTAACTGTTTCTGATGTTATAGACTTCATAGGAAGTGAAACACACAATTCATCCCATGTGGTGTCCACTGTTTTTGACGCTTTTGACCAAGGTCAAGGAGCGAAACCCATTACAGAGGCCACGTTGATTTCTATTGGAGCTCGATGTAGAGGAGCATCAAAGTCTAGCACTGATGATGCATCTCAAAAGCCAACTGATTCATCGTCTGATGGGGTAAAAAGAAAATAAGCGTCGAGAACTTTATATTTGTTTTTGGAGAAGAAAAGAGAGAGATGGAGGAAAAAGAAAGGAGGCAAAAAACAGGAAGAAGAGGGACAAATTAAAGAAGAGCCTTTGGCTTTATGCTGAAAAACAACAAAAACAAAGATATTTCTTGCAGTGTATTGAGAAGAAAAGATAGCTCCAACAAACGCATATTCCCTCTTTTTTTCTTTGTTATTGATGCGTTTTGGTGGGTGAACGAAACCATTTTCGGCTCAACAAGTAACCCTGTTCTACTTACATCATGAGGGAATTCTTGCGGTTTTTGTGGCTTTTTTTTTCTTTCTTTTTTTCTTTTCTTTAAAATATACTTGTTAATGTATCATACGGATAGGTGTGGAAAAATGTGAAAGATCTGAAATAACGTACCTTTTTTGTCGCGTTATGTTTTTTCCTTTTCAGATTCCCGCCTTTTTTCGTAGCGCGTACTTGCGTGTCGCAAAAAGAAAAGAAAAAAAAAAAAAAAAAAAAAAAGAAGAGAATTCAATACACAATGTTCATTTTCTGTTAATCGATAAAGAATCAATACAAAAAACCAAAAACAACAACAAAATCAACAAAAAAACAAATCTGAATTCTAAATACAGTGTGATGGCTTGTCGTACGTACCCTTGCAGGATTTCTTTTTGCCCCTGTTTATCATTATTGCTTTTTTTTTTTTTTTTTTTGATGTTTTTTATACTTTTCTGCCTCTGAGTCTACAATTTCCCATCTATTTTTAAGGTTACCGTTTTTCCAGTGTTTCCCATTTCTTGTTATATGTCTGGGCGATGCATGGTGGTTCTGCCTGTGATTTGGACGAGAACACACCATTGGTATCGAGTGAAGCTAGGACTCGCTGGAGCAATTCTACATGTTCTGTTTTCTCCAAATTTGGTGGCAACATAGGAAAGCTTTGCGATGCGGCTCAACAGTATCTCCGTTCCGTTTTTTGTGTAGGTGGACTGACAATCTGCGTTCTTGAAGTGAGCATTGTAAAGGAATTTCGGTTGAGCCGTTGCTTTCCCAGTTTTTTTCATCCAAAGCGATACTGTGACGCTGCTGTTGCCCTGATGAGAGAAGGTGGTTTGCATGTCATTGCGGATGTGGATGGTATCGCAGGATCAAGCTTGTTGCGCGTCATTACGGGTGACGCCTTGTGCGCGGCTGGGACTGTTCTCGCCAACGGTGTACCTGTCGAAGCGGGTGTATTTCGCAAGGCCGTTGGCATCTTTACTAACGTAGAAGCCTACATGCCGAACCTGACAGTGGAAGAGAATATAAATTTTGTTGTCTCAATGCGCACAAGGGTGACTGGAGAATCGAGGGAGGAGTTGGTGGAGGCCACCTGCGTCCTTACTGAGTTGGATCGTTACAAGCCTGCAAAATTACTTTCGCCTTCAGAGGCGTTTCGCCTTCGTCTTGCGATGGAAATAGCAAGAGATCCTCCTATTATTGTTGCGTACTACCCCTTTGATCGTCTAGGAATTGCTGATGCCTCGGAGTGTAGCGTCATTTTGAAAAGGCTATCAACAGTATTGGGAAAAACGGTTATTATTTCAACTACCACACTTTTTTCTCAACTATTTGAGGTCACAGATACCATATTGTTGTTTGGACGTGAAGGGTGCGTTCTTTACTCTGGTGAGGCTGCTACCATGCCCTCGTATTTCACTGGTCTTCATGTGTCCTCAAATCTATCCTCTACCCATGAAAGTGACGTGTCAAAAGGCATGAGTGCGGGTTACAACCTCCCTTTAACTACATACCGGGCATCTGATTCCACTTTAGCAAGAGAGAGCAGTCGTAATGAGGACTATGAAAGTCATAGTGTTCCTTTGTTATCATTTTGTTTACAAGAATCTGGGGCCGCAGCAAGCACAAATCTTGTTTCGTGTGGGGATGACGTTTTGGATCTCGCCGTGCTTTGGGCTGAGTCTGAAACAATTACAAAGTATTACTCTTCTAAATTTTACAACTCGTATATGCGCCGTCGTGTGGTTCAGTTTATCGCGCATTGTTCTGGCCCGCCACAGAATTTGGATGATGTGGCACCGTTCATGAGTACAGCACCTCCTCAGTATGCAGTATTAAAACCATTTCTTCTTTGCTGGTATGATGCCATGCAAACCTGGAGAAGTTCTGAAGTTTATGTTCACCTTGCGTGTCTGTCGCTGGGGTTGTTTTTGATATCGTTGTTGATGAATCTCCAGAACGATGACCAAGGAGGTATGTATAATATTAGAGGTATTCAGTTTGTTTTGTTTCTTCTCACGATGCTGACAAACACAACAACCATGGGCGATGTGGATCATCAACTACGTCTTTTTTTTCATCAACGCAACAATGGACTTTATGGCACAGCTTGCTTTATGGTAGCTTTTGTTTTCCGTATTGTCCTTGTTCGGGTTGTGTACTTGACGCTCTTTGTCCCTGTAGTGATATATGTGTTGAAGATGAGTTCTACATTTCTTCTTCTTGTCGGTGCTTTAAGTGTTACTCAGGCGCTTCTAATCGTAACTGTGCATGCGTTTGTGCCTCATAACCGCTGGGCAGTGATTATACTTTGGTTATATCTGGGCTACTGTGTCATTTTTTGTGGATTTTTGCTGAATTTGAAGGCGATGCCATTGATCGTTGGGAAGATGAGTATACTTCGTTGGAGTTACGGGGCCGCATTGGCGCAGAGTTTGCAGGACATGCCTTTTAGTTGTGATGGTGCAGGAAACACGTCTTATTGCTACAGTGGCAACACGTATCTGGATATTGAGGGATTTTTGGGAGAATCCACACAACGATCTTTATTGGTGTTTGGTGGAGTTTGTGGCGTGTTAATAATACTCACTGGGATCAATTTGGCGTGCAGAGGGTAGGTTCTTTGTGAGGCGGCTCAGTTAATCCCTTTTTTTTGATTTTGTTGTTGTTCTCTGAGTGAAACTGCGGTTCGATTTTTTTTTTTTTGTTCGTTTCTACGCGTCACCGAAGAACAGCGCAGCGAAACGGGGAAAGGAAATGGTATCGGAATCTAAAGGAAGGGGGATGGGTGGGTGGAATAGAGAAAAAAAAAAAAAGCGAAGGAAGAAATTTTTATTTCAATTACTCGTCTAACTTACATGTGACATGCCATTTTCTTTTTTTTTGTTTTCAGTCCTCAAGGAAAAAGAAAAGAATACACTGGAAAGTTAGAAGACGCTAGTAGGATGAAACAGAGTATGACTGATAGTTCGACCAGAGACATTTATGCGAACGAGTCCGACACCGATGCAGCATACAGCACTTGTGACGCAGCAGTAGTGATTTTGCAACGTTGCTCAGGCAAAAAACGCGAACGGACTCCTCGTTTCAGGACCCTTTCAAATGAAAGGGTTTCCACGGAAGATGATGGCCACATTGATGTTGTGGAACACAGTAACCGACTATTGGAGTTTTTGCGCGTGCGTCGGCAGCAGCAATGGGGTTATAAAGCTTTCTCCTTCACCGAAGACCATGATGGAAGCGATGAGGGTGTGTCCGTTGTGAAGAAGAGTGAATCGCGTTCGGCTCAGACTATTTCCTCTTCTGCATTAGGATTGCCTATTACAGAAGCCGAATCCTTGCGAACTAACGGCTGTAGATACTGTATTGAGTCTTTAGTTCAAGAGAGTCCCTCCCTTTTTTGTCCTCAAGTAACCGTTCATAGTATTGCCACACAAACACAGGCGGAAGCACAATCACCCCCCTCTGAGTCACGCGATCAGATGGCGGCTTCCACCATAACAAAAGCTGATCTGTTGATGCTTCGACTGTGCGAGTTGGATGCCTTGCTTCACATTTTTTTTTCTTGAGGCTTTTTTTTTTTTTTGTGCGCGTTTGCGCCTTTCTGAATTTGCGACGCTCTTTGACTTTTTCTTTGGTGGTCAATTGAGTGTTTGATTGTCTGTCGAACAACAAGAACAATGAATATAGACGCAATAATCTATTTTTTTTCTTTTTTTTTAAATGTATACATTCTTTTTTCTTCTGTGCAGTAGAAAACTATTAACATAATGTGCAACAATTGACTGAATTCCAAAGATGTTGCCTTGGAGTGGAAAAAGTGCGGTTTTTTTTTTTTGTCGTTCCACCTGCTCCCCATTGCTCTCTACGCGGAGGAGTCCGGCGGTTGCGGCGCCCTTTTAAAGACTGCCATTTGGTGCGTTCACAGCGAGACCGGTTGTCGTAGGGTATGCGTTATGAATTTCTCCTTTTGTTTCTGCATGGGTGTTGAATAAATCTAATCCTCACTGTGGAGGATTTTTGGTGCATTTGGTCAAACTACCATCTCCCATTGCCGTGCATTTTTTCCATATTATTAATGGGGGGCCAGGCCTCATCCAGGCACTTTTTGTAGGATTGAAAAACAGTGATAACAATGGCCAGCTGGACAAATAAAAAAAACTCCCCAGTGGAGGCAGAGCGGCACTTTCATCATTCTAATTCACGAGAACTTTTCCACCAGCGCATTCCCACCCTAAAAGCAGGTGATGCAAAGCAAAAAATGAGGGAAATACGCGACTACGTGCTCAACACAATGGAGCTTTATGGAAAGGTCTTTGAGAGTGTGGCAGCCGAAGAAGGTTTTTTTGTACATCCGGTTCACAAACTTCGACACCCTCTGATCTTCTATTACGGCCATACAGCCTGTTTTTACATCAATAAATTGCGTGCGGCTGGGCTTTCTGAGCCTATTAATCCGCGGTTTGAGGAGATTTTTGCCGTGGGCGTGGATGAAATGAGTTGGGATGATCTCAATGAGGAACATTACAATTGGCCCACCGTGGGCGAGGTGACGGAATACCGTTTAGCTGTTCGTGACCATGTCGATGAGATGCTATCAAGTGGAAGGTACAAATTGAATCTTCCATTGACCTTTGAGAACAGCACACTGAACATGGACAATTCCTTTTGGTGGGTAATGCTAATGTGTTCCGAGCATGAGCGCATTCACGTGGAAACTGCGTCAGTTCATGTGCGGGAGCTTCCCATGCGATTTATCAATTCCGCCATGTCTTGCTTTTGGAAACGATGTGAAGAAGTAAATTCAAAAGCCCCGGTAAATGAACTGATCGAAGTATTTGGGGACAAAGTGCACGTTGGGCGTCAACCGGATTCTTCAGTGTACGGATGGGACTGTGATTACTCAGACGGAAATTATGTTATTGATGTACCCGCTTTTAAAGCGAGCAAATATCTTGTTTCGAATGCGGAGTTTATGTCATTTATGAAGGCGGATGGATATAATACACAACGCTACTGGGATGAAGAAGGTTGGAAATGGGTGCTGTGGCGAAAACCGCAGCATCCATGGTTTTGGGTGCGTGATGAGTCTCGTCCAGATGGTTACGCACTCCGTCTTCAGGCGGAGCTAATAGACTTGCCATGGAACTGGCCATGTGAATTAAATAACCTTGAAGCACATGCCTTTTGCAGGTTTAAAAGTGAAGAATGGGGAAAGAATATCCGCATGCTGACGGAGGCAGAGTGGTTGCTTCTGTGGGATAGGTATGTTGGGAAGGATCAGATGGACTGGGATAAGGCACCTGGCAATCTCAATCTGGAACATTTTCAAAGCAGCTGCCCTGTGAACAAGTTCAAACAGGGTCCCTTTTATGACATTGTTGGCAATGCTTGGCAACACTGTGAGACGAAAGTTTACCCTTATCCAGGTTACAAGGTTCATCCGTTTTACGACGATTTTTCGATGCCTACTTTTGATGGTCGTCATGCGTGCATGAAAGGTGGAGCGTGGGTCAGTTCCGGGAATGAAGCTACTCGGGACGCCCGTTTTGCCTTCCGCCGCCACTTCTTCCAGTATATTGGTCTTCGTTACGTGGAAGGCGGCCCAACTAACGAGGAGCGTTACTGCGGGAGTGTCTTGGGGATGGACCCCGAAGTTGACATTATGACCGACGCGGGTTTTCGCGAATCTGTTGATGGCATTCCAAATGGCTGCGTTAAGATTGCTGAGTACTGCATGGCTCAGTTCAAGGCTCATGCTAGAGTTGAACCCAAACGCGCATTGGATTTTGCCTGTGGAGCTGGTCGGGTATCCTTTGAATTGTCTGCTCTTTTTTCCCAAGTGGTTGGTTCCGACTTCACGGCCCGCTACCTTATCCCGGCCTATGCGATGCTGGAACGTGGCAAATGTACCTATAGCACTTTGGAATCTTCTTCGCTCCAGCGTGTGGCAAAGATGGCTGAAGCTTCAAATTATTCCTGGGACTCCAATCGTAAACGCGTCACCTTTTTTCAGTCTGACCCCACAAACCTTCACAGTCACATGAAAGATTTTTCTTTGATTGTGTGCTGGAATGCCCTGGAGAGAAGCTCAGCCCCTGCCGCTATCCCGTTGCATATGCTGAGTCGACTGGAAGAGGGTGGTCTCCTTGTCATTGAATGTCAATATGAGTGGGTTGAAGGAGGCCCATCGGCGAGGGAAAATCCGGGTGAGACGTCGTTGCCTCATAAGGGATTTGCAGAGGAAGAAATATATAATCTTCTCGGAGCTGAATCTGCCGTCGAGC